TCTTAGCTATGCTCGGACGGCTTGATCCACCCCTAAAAAAGAGATGGCTAACGTCAGTTGGTCTTATTTTGAGCTCATCGTTGGAGTCACTAACTTTAGTTTTTTCGATTGCAGTTTCAGTATACTTTTGCTATTGAGATTTCTTATCTAGTGCTAACGGTATGTACTGAATGATTACGTCCTAAATGAGTTTTTACTTCTAAGGTCGTCAACTAGGACACCACTGATACCGTTCCTTTGGCCAATTTGTGTACGTAATTTTTTTCTTTTCACTCTCATCATAGTGGCAGGAGGGGCTGCCTACCATAGGGAAAGGGGCTTATTGATATCAATTAAAAAAAAGGTCGGATGGTAAAAAACTTCGAGTCTGTCTATCGTTCGTCCGGCGGGCGGGGGGGTTCTCTACCTAGATATAGGCTAATGGGGATGGGCCGCTGCATTGGGTCGGCTGGATTGACTATAATGGGGTTACATTTTCCGTAGAATTACTAGGAGGGGTCTGGGATACGGCAGCTTTAGCGGAAAGCTTTTTCACACCATAAATTGTGCTTAAATAAAATTTGTGCCTTTTTAAGATCTACTGCATCCTTGTGGTGTACTCGTACTATGAGAGCCTCCGTGAAGATCCTTCAGGATCTATTGCGGGATTTGATCAAGAAACCGGAACTACTATGGTATGATGTTCTACTATCTTTTATTTATTAAGGGACCGGTTATTTATCGCCTGGGGCGCGGGGGGCGGGGGGTCAATGGAGAATTTGGGGCTAAACAAGGTGAAATTTAGCCGATCCTCCCTTTGAATGTTACTTCACAAAAATGATCCCCTTTAATAACATTTGATAATTTTTGCCACTCCCCTCCTCCGTGTCTTCATTTTCCAAGCAAATTTGAGTGGTTCCCCCTCTGAATCCTTCCAATGTTTTCAGCAAACCTTCCTTTTGGGTTCTCAGTTACGACTTATCCCCCCTTTTGTTCTCCTAAAAATCAAGTTATCCGCCCAAAAATTCCCCCACCCCCCACCAGGCGATGAATATTGACGGGTCCCCTAATAAAGAGAGAATAATGGACCAGAGAGATAATCTTAGGGCGTCAGCCGGGGTATGTGAATTTCACCAAGATTATTTTTAGATTAAAGAAAGTCTAATGTCTGAGACGTCCGCACATTTTGATCAGTTGTTTGAAATGTCATCAAATCCACGCCCGACTATACATCAAAGCAATTAATGCAGAATATTGATGACTCTCTTGACAATACTAAATAAAAGTCTACGGACCTCTCTGGAAACACACTTTCGATTAGTTTCAAGCGTTTAGTTCATCTAAAAATAACTAACCAAGGGCTAGAATGGGCATTTTCCTCTCTAGCTTCACGTTATCCTTTCTTGATCGCTCTCATTTCTCTCCAGCCGCTCTTTTCCCATCTGTCGTTTCCATCTTAATTTGTCTGATTTTATTGTAACAATCCCTCATCCACAACCCTTAAACTTCCATTTTCTGCTTTTATTTATTTATTTATTTATTTATTTTTTATTTTTGATTCTTTTACAAAATATCCCTTTACACAATTTGCTCTCAGCTCTATCCTTTTGATATACCCTGGCGAGTGACCATTTATTCAGTGTATAATTTCGTTTGTCTTTCTCAACTGACCAATTTAGCTGAAATATTAAAAATGGCGTTGTTCTTTGTCTCGCGCAGGTACAAGTGGCTGGACCTCCTACTTACGCACAGCTTCGTTGAACGCGTTTGATTTGAAGCACGGAAATCGTCGAGGGGCGGGTCGGAAAAACTGAATTGTTTACAATCGCTTTTTTTCCCTTTATCTCCGAGATCACGCACGGTTACTTAAACGGATGGCCATCCAGGTTAACTCTAATGCACCGTGCGTCTATTTCGCGCTGGATCTCGACAATCTTATACGATCTTATGGGAATAAGGAGATTGTAAATAGTCTAAGAAAAAACTCACAGTCATTGTTGTTTTTGAGTAGAGCCTTTCATGCGAACGGAAATGACGTCAGCTTCCTTCAGATCTCGATGTATTAACTTTATTTTAGCTATTTCCTTAGTAAAGCCACGACGGAAACGATAATACTGTTCAATGATTATCACGTCGAATCATGCAAGCCGAAGCCTATTTCGTTTCTCAGAAATGGCCCAAATGTCGATCGTTTTTAAATTAGTAGTTGTAATTGTTATAATAACGATCTTGAAGATAACTTAAGTTTCAAAGACTATGCATGTATTGAATGGGGGTAATAGTGGCTGAAACGTCATGTAGAATAAATGTCTATACTTCAGCAGACAAGATCGCATGGCATCATGCGTCTTTCAATTTTTTTCTCAACGAAGTGTCACTTCCCGTAGCAATCTTGGCAAAACAGCAAGTTTCTCATAAAATTATTCCATAGCGTGACGGTGCTTACGCTGTCCTCGGCGGGTTCTGATATTCGGTAAAGGCGAACCATATCTCTCCGTTAAAATCTCCTGTTCCCACTTCTATTAAGGGCTAGGAACGCCTGAACATGAAATAAAATGTTTTCACGATGACGCCTTCAAACTCTGAAAAATAACAAGTTCTTCTAAATGTTGAGCTTCTTTCGTTCAGCGGTTTCAAACTTATTTTTTCATTGCGTGGGCAGTGAAAAAACAGGCCATATTTTAAAAAAACCCAAGTTAGGTCTTCCTGTCCATGATATGGACGTGCTGCCCGAGAGAATACCACTTCCAGTATCCTAACAACTGGCATCGTTGTTTAAGGAACATGGCTCATGCTAAGATCTATTTGGTTATTTTTCCATTTCTGTTGGCTGCAAATCAGAGTAATCAAGGTGAGTAGCATAATTATTCCCGTTGATTCCGACGCCTTGTGGTCGCACAATTGGCGAAGCAAAGCTCATACGAACAGCCGATTAGCTTGGCTCGGTGTTTTTGCTTTAAGAAATTGAAAATTGATCAGCGTAGTAGCATTGTTTAATGGGAATCATTTTGTTCATTAGTTACCAAACGATGCGATCGATTACTCGCTCCGAATGAGTGGTATATAAGTAACTCAGTGTTGTCAATCGATACATGTTTTACAGCTTATTCATAAAACCCAAGCGGAAGTTGAAGAAGCTTCATCCAAAGCAGGGGTTTGGAACCCTCTCTCCCCTCCGTTTCACCATGAAAACAAAGCAAAATACGTACAAAATCAGTGTTCTTGTCATTTTAAGATTTCAATAACAAAGACAAAAAATATCCAGTTCCACAGCACTGCTGCGGCTGTGACTTGAAGACAGGCATTTTGCTTATCGGTATTCTTGGAGTGGTGAGTACTTTGTTAACAAATGATCGAACTCACTCCGGGCAACCGCAAACTGTTCCAAAAACGCAGGTTGTGTTTACACATGTTTGGTTCTCAAATGCCGCCGACATCTACCTGCGACATGGCCGCCCCCGCCGTTCTGCCTGTTTCATTCGCACATATGAGAAAATGAGCCGCGAAATAAGTTGAACTCGAAAAAATTTCGCAGGTATGGCAGAAGCGGTAAAGATCACGCCACAAGTGTCTCAGACGGGTTTTCTCTGTGCTTTAGATGCCTGTTTGGTTAATTTGGAGTTGGGCTAAAAACTATTTATCTGTTCGGATGTCTTAGCGGGAACTTTGTTCGTCACGAAAGTTTAACAGGCTTTTTCGTCTCATCCGATAGTGTTAGCTACCCTCGAGGACATGAAGTAGCCTTGCTTTCATAGAAAATTATGCGGGACGTTTTGTCATTATATCGAAAATTTTAGGAGACCTTTTTTTAACAATAATTGCGATATCTTGTTATTAAAATGTGAAAACACAAACTTAGAAAGTGGTATTTAAGCTGTTAGAAAAACTCCGAATATTTTAGACGAATGGAAAGGTTATCCAGAAATTTTTAACTTTTCTCAAGCTTAAGAAATTTGTAGGCAATACTTGCTCCTTCGAACAGTTATTTTGCAGAATATAGTCGCTGGGTGCCCCTGAAAGACTGCATTGATGGCTTCTGTTGCCTCATCGAACGAACTTTAATCAGGACTACTTCGTCAGCCGCATAATTCTGCATGTGATAATTTAAGGAGTTGTACATGCATGAGCGCGGAAAACTGAAGTGAATTCAGGCGTCAGAGCGGAATTCAGCACGCAAGATTCACCGATATTTTAATATATTACTAATTAAACTTTTTATTGGTGGTTAAAATCCCTAGGAACAAATCTAAACTCTAGAGATCAAATACTAGCGAAAAAAAAAACGATTTACTTTCTCTTTGCTGTGTCTTGCTGCTGAAAACATTGTGCATCCACGTTTGTATGCAAATTTGCTATATTTGAGGTCATGAATCATTTAGCTTTAGTTTGAGCGATACAAATTAAAACACTACGTGATAAGGAATTTTTTAAAGAATGCCCCAGTTCCTTCAACATTCAGTCTTGAACTTTAAGGTGAAATCACTTTTTCCACATTGATTTCATCTCCAATTGCCAATAAAAACAAGTTCGAGTCATTTACTCATCTGTTACCAAATCTGCGGGAACACTTAACGACAACGTTAAAAATGTCTAATAAAAATAAGCTAGGATCCTTCGATTTCGTGGAAATTTTTTTTTTCTAAAGCCTTTGGATTAAATCTCGTTGTTATATTGATGATAGTGCACCAGCTGGCCTATATTTTAGACTCGGAGTGACACTCCCTTTACGTTGAATATTTACCCAGTAGCATCCACGTAACAATTCGAAACAACAAGATCACCATGATGGGGTACATTGGGCTGCTACCCTGGTGGGGAGGGTACTCCCTTATATAAGCCATATAGGTATGTGCAGCCCCATCGGGTAGGGTTTTTGGAATAATTTTCTCGTGTGCGCTTTAATCTAAGTAATGATAACATACTTTCTGCCTAAAGGTCAGGTCTGAAACGGATATTGATTTTAGAGGTCTAGTCTAAAAACGGCAGTGGAAAATTAAATTTTTTGGTCTGAAATCGGGTCAGGATTTGAAAACCCGTTAGACACATCCCCACCAAGAATTTCCAGGAGTACCCCCACCCCCTCCCCCTGCCCCCTCCCTCCGCCGAGGTTGAATAGAAACATAATCACCTGGTTAGAACCTCAGAAGAGCTTTAAATGTAAAATCAAACAAACAAAACTAAAGCTTAATTTGCTTTGCGAGTTTTATTAAGAAACAGAATTTAAAACATTGAAAGTTTTTAAGCGTAGAACGACAGCGATTTTCGGAATTTCCGGTAATTAGTCAGGTTATACTGTCAAGTAAAATTTTGAGGGGAGGAGGATTGGGGGGGAGGGGAGAGGAGTCATTGCGGAAATACTCCTGTTAAAAATAACTTGTCTTTCCTCGTTCCAAAAAAAGAGAGACTTGCTTATTTACATTTTCATTCTTATTGGTGAAATTGATGGTGTCCATTTTTTTTTTTTTATATCTGAAATGACAAGCTCTAATCCCTCAAAAGTCAAATGATCGCCCCAATCGCTGGGGGACGGGACACGCAACGCATTTGCAGGGCGAATAAAGGTTCCTGGCCTTTGAGTTAACGTCCGCCATTTTGTCCTTTTACCTCGGCTTGAGTTGTTATGCCACAGGTAGCCCATATCAGATAGACACCAAAGGGACATATCTTTCGCATAATCACTTATTCAAGTTGCGGTCGCGCCTACTTCGTGTTATGTCAGTGACCTTGTTTTGTTGCAAACTGTAAAGTAGCCTGCGAGCAAGCTCTCTTATTTGGGCGAGCGAAGCGAGGCACGAGAGAACGCGCGAGCGAGAAGGGAAGCTGCGCCCGCTTTCGCGTCTCCTCTCGCGTGCCTCTCGCGCGTCTCTCGCGCGTCTACTTTTCACGATATCCCCCAAACGGAGAACTTGCTCGCAGGCTGTAAGCTTAAAGAAAAAAATTCGTATCGATAGTTCAGTATTGAAGAAGAAGTTGACTTTTTTGTTTTGCAGCTCGGTTCTGGGTATGGTATCTACGCAGGCTTCAACGGGGCGAAAACACTCATTAATCTAAAGGATGAATACAGGGAGCTCGATCAGGAGGGAGTGAAGCTTCCAATTGATTACAAGTATTACAAAGGTTTGTCTCTTTGGTTGCAGTCTTGGTCGGACTCATCGAACATTTCGGATGTGAAAGGAGTTATCGTCAAGTATCCTGTCTTTTTTTCAGAACTCCTGTTTAATAAACTATCACATGGACTTACATGGGACCTTATCACTTTTTTGGAACACAACTGACTATTTTATCTCTGATTCGACTAACCATCGTTTCATTTGAAATCTCGTCATGCTTTTAAAAAATAGTTATAAATACAGTCTACTCCCAATAACTCGAACCTTCTAGCGAGAATAGAAAAAAGTTCGAGTCAGCAGGAATAATTCGAGTTATCGGAAGATCGAAGCAAATCGCCGGAAATATGGAAATGGGATGTGGAATGAAGGCATGCTGTAACATGCACACTTCAAAACTTGAAAAATCAGGCAGTGCCGGACACTGTACTCTTAACCATGTTAACCGGACTAACAAAAATTAAAGTCCGTTTGATCTCAAAAAGGTTGTTAAACGTCCATCGTTTGTAAAAAGGCTAGCCTATCCTCCCCATGCTGGAGATTTTAGGTGAGCCGTATTTTGCTCCCTGCGTAGGGGGCTATAAAAAGTCCCTTATGTATCAGTTCTGCGGTGCACGCCACACACTGAGTGTCCTTTTTGCTACTTTTATCATTCAGGAGTCATCAACTTGCTTTACGTTGCGGCTGCTATCAACATCCTTGGGCTACTGGTCAATCTCATGTTGCTGTTTTCGTTTTGCACGGTAAGTCGTATTAATAAAAGAACGGTTCTTTAATCTGTGACACTGAAAAGTAGGAGCCTTTATGGACATAATTTTAAATGACCTTTGTTGCTTTCTCTTCGCTTTTGACGACCGCTTATAACTGTACAAATCTTAGTTTCCCTCACTGCCTTCCGCCAAATAAAGCTCAATTGACATATAAACATTTCTGTTAACAGGTTCTGAATTTTTCAAAGATCCATCCTTATTCTCGTCAATGTATCACTCGCAGTGAAGCAATACGCATTGAATAACAGTTAGCATTTTAATTTTTTTAGTTCAGCACTGTTCGAAGCGGTTTAAGTCTGTTAGTACTGTAAGTGCCTGTTTCTTTAAAGACTGCAATAAAAAGCAAGGCTGACAGACTGTACATCTGGGAATTAGCACACTCAAGTGCGTTTTCGTTTGAAAACGTTGCCTTTTAGTGCCAGCTCGGTCAAATTAACCTCGCTTCTCAATCATTTCTCAAATCTTCCCGGATCACTGATCCAGATCCTTTGTTTTCAAAGGTTGGCCATTGCAATATGGATTTCTTAAAAATTAAGCTTAATATAAATATTAATTTGAATTTTTCTTTTCTCTTTTAATTTTCTTAGAGGAATCGTTTTTTGGCGCTGCCATACATAATTTTTTACAGCTTCTCCGTTCTCTACAGTCTGGCCGTTACCATTTTCCTCATTTCAATCTGGCATGGGGTACGTACGAATCTTGTTACTTGATATGACAGCTTGGTCGAGCGATTGAAGATTGAAGTTGGGAGGCCCCGAGTTTCAGTCCCGCCCCGATCGATATAGGGCTTTCCACAAGTTGGTCGGCAACTTTTTCGCAACTTCTTGTATTTCGAGCAACTTTTTTCGTTTCGAGCAACTTATTTGCATTGTCAACAATTTCTCAAGTTATTTTCTAATTCTGACATATCGGAGCAGCTTTTTGTGTTTAAATTGGCCTTTCTTCCATATTTCACAATGTTTTAGTACACAATTTATGAACTTCCTGTTAAAAAAGGGGCCAAATCCTCCCCCCTGGGGAAGATCATGGGCGCCAGACAGAAGTAGCCGGGCTAGGTCGGCGGTTTTTGGAGAAAATTCAAAATTGTGGACGAAGGTTCTCACTTGACTGACTTGAGTGTCTCGGGTGAAGAAAGTCATTCAACAATTTGTATTCTGTATTTATTTTTTCTAATATGTTGTAACTCTTAGTTAGTGTACATCCTTTTCTTTTTCACCATAATACGACGCGTCAGTCTATAGAAAAACAGTTTGTGGATCTAGCCTCTCGCCGCCTTACTCACACCTTTCCAAGGTCTTATCCCTCAACTGGTTATTTAAAGATGAGATCATCGTTTTGGTACTAAACTAACTGTTTTTGCTGTTGCTTTCTGTCTTTTTATGATTACAGTTCCATTATAGTTTTGCCGTTGACATTGTTGCCCCCGTGATAACGGTACGTATTTCAAACCGTTAACGAATTTTAACTGAAAAGATCGAAAAAAAGAAGTTGTAATTGCTTAGTAGAACTCAACATAATCTCACTCATTCACTCACCCACTCACTTACTTTCATTATAGTTATATACTTCATAATTGATTTTCAGATCTACTTCATCCTTGTGGTGTACTCGTACTTTGAAAGCCTCCGTGAAGATCCCTCTGGCTCCGTTGCGGGATTTGATCAAGGAAGAGCAACAGTTATGGTATGTTACTCTTCTATGCCTCTTTGTCCCGTATAAACTTTGGTCCTATCCTGTAATTTCTTTTCCTTTGGTGCGTCTTTTATTGCCTCTACTTCCATGGTTAACCCTCTTCGTTCTCCCAGAACCATACCTCTCTCATTATTCTCTTTTCTCCCTCCAAATAAGTCTGTCTATCCTTTTCTTAAACCTTAGTAAATGACCCCTCAAATGAAAGAAATGGGTACTCACATGGGTCTGAAGTTATTTTTGATGAAGTCATAAAAATGGGTTTAATGTTTTTTTTTATCTGGCAGATGCAAGTGGGAGGTCCTCCACCTTACGCAAAGTTTTGAGCCGCTGAAGTTGTCGAGTGGCGAAAAAACTAAACTGTTTACAGTCGCCTCTATTTCCATTAGATCACCCAGACCGAGCACTTACTAACTAATGGACGAACATCCTGGTGTGCTTCGCTTCTTCAAATGACTGAGGCGATACCGTTTAAGATAAGATGGCTGTCAGTGATAGCAAGCGCTCGATCTCGACGATTTTATGGAAGCATAGGCGACTGTCTTGAAACAGTTTATGTAAAACGTCCAGTCTTTGTTGTTGTTGTTGTTTTTTTTATGTAGATTAGAGCTTTTTATATATTCAGGCATAGCATCGAGTAGCGATAACATTTAAATGAGTAAAAGTAAAGCCCAAAGATACATTGAGTAGATACTTTTGATATGCTAAAAGAACCAACCACTGCATGGCACTAGCTTACTGATAGGTTCCAGCCGGCACCAATTTAAAACTAAGATTTAAAAGTTATTAAGGATCGAATAATTAGAGAAAATGTCTTCAATTAGCTTGCACGTTTGTAAGCCGAAGCCTATTACTTTTAGACTAAATGTAATCATGTAAACGATGTTTAACGATAAATGGTGTCAACAACAGCGGTAACAGCCCGGAAAACAAAAACAAGTCCACGCGAGGAAGCCAGTACTGTCGGTTACGATTCTCTGTGCTGGATTTCATAGGGGCTGTGGTTAAATACCTAACAACTTGTAAAAGTAATTCTTAGATTTTTGCCTGCGTTGACAAGTTAACGTAATATTTTCTTATCATCATCGATAAGCATACAGTAGTACGAAGTGAGTGTAAAAACTAGAATTAAAGTCCTGCAAATTGTTTGCTCTGCCTCCTCGTTGTTTTTGCCCGGTAGAAACCGCGAGTGTATAAAGTAGCCTATAAACCGTGGCAAAAACCATTTCCGCTTAATGCTACAGGCCCCTTGGTCCCAGAGACTTTTCTTGCGCGGTTCCCGTTTCCGGCGGTGGGGCGCGCTAGCGCTATGCCGCTCGTGGCTTTGGCCTCCGGCCGGCACTGATCCGCTGAAGATTTCCGACGCACGTGAGAAAAACCTCTGTTTTGAGAGAGCGCCTCGTCTGACCTCAAAATCTGAATCTGAAAATGCTTAACTGGTCAGGTAAATACATTTTTAACTCGTGGGAACGCGCGAGCGTACCACGAATAATTGCAGGGACTAGGATATGCAAATTAGTCGCTCGCTTACTCGCAGTAGACGGACATCGGGTAGAGGCTAGTCCGAATTCGAGAGTGCGAAGATCTATCGTTTCCGAAGAAGCACGCGCTCGCCGAAGTTCGGTGTGATCAAATTCTTATGAGAACGTGCATCGTTCGTGCTCAGACTCAGAGTTTTCTTTGTGGCAAATTTTCTACAGCACGGTTAGAGGTCTTACCAAACTTAAGACACGCAGGAGTCTTTCAGATGAGTAAGATGGTTAACTTCGGGATTGGATTGACGAGAAGATGAGCATTTGCTCTTCGACTCTGCAAGATTACGGGGGATATACAAATTCCAGATAAGGTAACACATACGTTTTCCGTCGTACTTCGCAGACGTGGTGCATCGGTTTTGTGAAGCATAAAATATATGTTCTTTCGTTCATTCACCCGGCATTGCCCCTGAAATTCGTTTACACTGTTTTTTTTTTTAGCTGTCAATAGCTCCGTTTATGCGGCTCGATCATCTTCAAACGGCGCTTGCCGACGGATTTTCCATGGAAAATGCATTAAGTCAAAAACTTTCGCCTGGTTAGGTAAAGTCGCAACTAACCGATGGTGCCGGGTTTGAGTCCTTCTCCGCACCTTTCTTTCTTCCATCTTTCTTTCTCTTTTTTTTTCCCGTTTTTGTTTTGTTTTGTTTTTGCTTATTTGTTTTGTTGTTTTTCTATAAATACATACCGTAAAATTCCGAAAATAAGCCCCGAGGCTTATATTTTTCAAAGACCCTTTTTGAGGGGCTTATATTTGGAGGGGCAATTTAACGGAGGGTTTTTTGCGCTTATGTTTGGAGGGGCTTATACATGTGGAGGGGCTTATTTACGGAATTTTACGGTACCTAAATTCATAACTGTTATTTAATAAAGTGCAATAAACAGCAAGAAAAGTATTGTGTTTCCAGAGAAAAGATAATATATTTAATATATGGATAAATTAAACAATCTAAATTTCTATCACTTCCTACAATTTACTGTGGGAAGACCAGAGTTGATAACCATTTGGTTATTTTCTAAACAACGTTCCCACAAGTTGACAATAGTCAACTTTGATTAAAAATTGTTATAATTGGCTTTGGATGTTTATAACTTCGGACAAAGAGGAAGAGAGTGTCCGCAATCCTATTTACCACAGTGACTATACTTTTGATAATAATCATAATCATAACCAAAATGATAGCGAAAGTTGGCCACGTTATCAGGCTTTCACGCTCTATTAGCCGAATGAATTATTATTTTGGCGCGATTTGTTAATTTATGTGCCCTTGTGAAATCATTCATGGATCGGTTGGTTATGAATTGACGCAGAATTACATGGTCATCAAGATAATGGATTGACAATTGGAGCTATAATCAATATTTGTACGGTACAGGAAGAGAATTAAATTGGTTTTATTAACTTCACTCAGTTCACTGGCCCAGGCTTTTGGGAAGGGACCCTTAAAAGAGCAATTTTTCCTTATTTATAAGTAAATTTACCAATTGTTTATAAAATAACGAGAAAATGAATAAACAAATTTGTTCTCGGAAATATTAAATTTTCAAACGGTGCCGTTATCAATTAGGCATGTAATCATGGATATTAAAACCGCAAGCATGCTATTAATACTTCAATACTGGTCATCTTTATATAAAGGATCTAAATACATATCTTATCTTATCGCATATAATGTAAGATATGTATTCCGATTGGCAACTAAAAATGACAAGAAAGAATTGAAAAACCTAATAAATATTTTGCTGAGCTATGATTGGCCAATATCAGCTGGCGGCCGCTAATTAACTTGTCGACACAGTTTCACATTTCCTTGTCTCAAGGAAAGAAGAAAAGCAAAATTGAGGAGCCTGCCGGAGAGCGCCATCTTAAAACACGGGTTTGACAAAACCATGGCAATTCTTGTGCGAACATGTTGTTGTGGCTGTGACTTGAGGACAGGCATTTTGCTTATCGGCTTTTTGGGAGTGGTAAGTAAACACCAATTTAACTTTCATTATTACTCCAACAGCGGCGGGCAACAATGTTAGTTTAGCTTAACTTTAAGTGCGAGTTTTGCCGACGCACTTGTTTGATTCAGTCGGGATCACTCAAGAATTTCAATTTAAATAAGTGCTACGTACTCCACTGAATAATCTCATACTTCTACCATCTTTGTGCATGTTATAGTCTGAGGCAGTTTCACTTAACCGGGAGATACAGACACGCGGAAAAAGGCCAGCAACTAAGGTTCAACCTCACTGAGGTTGATAGGACTTAAAGATGAATATAAGGACTGTGGTGATCCCTTCGCCAAAATAAGATTAACCGGCCAGAGCAACCGGTTTTTATAATTAAAACAGGGGTTTGACAAAACCATGGCAATTCTTGTCCGAACATGTTGTTGCTGCTGTGAGTTGACCAATCTTCTTTGACGGAACTGCTTTTCAGTTGTCACAACTCATCGAAAATATAACTTTCTTAACGCGAGAGGCGCCTGATAAACAGATTTCAAGGTACTATGTATGCTTTTAAAAAAGTTTGTGCTCTCTGCACCAGTATAAGTTTAATTGTCTTTCGAATTTAGACATCTTTTGCTTAATTTTATACCGGTTTTACTCTTTTTATTGAGGAATCTATTTCTTCACATTCTGATCACATAGCGCTTACAACCAATCGGATACAAGCCCCATTAAAAAATAGTTTTGTAGTAGTTTCGTCAGTCATTATTTCTTTTGTGCATGATTTGCTCTTTTGAGTGGAAATTTTAAATTTCATGGTGACTTATTGTGAGCCATCCACCTGCCTTTCCCTTTTAACCAAAAAAAATTAAATAAAATTGATTCAGCAAAAGGGCAGCAAGAAATCGGCAGAAATGTATAAAATAATACTCTATAAAGCTAATACTCTGATTCTCTGGGTAAGACACAAATTATTCTTTTATCAGTCAATGGGTGAAAGTGTCGCAAGTACTCCAAACAATTGTATTGTCTCGTTCTTTCCAGCTTACTACATTGAAGTTTGCATTAATTACAAATCGCCCTGAATTTTCCAATCCGCAATGAGCATGAAAGTTTTCAGGCAACCACTCTATGATTTTAAGAACGAAACTGATTATCAATTCTTACTTAGTCTACCAAACAACAACTTATAATGGTCAATGTTTAAAGAGAAAACCTTTTTAACCTTAGATCCGTGCATTTAGTCGGCATTCAACCAAATTAAATCTCGTCTTTGTCTCTCACAGTCTACCAAAAGCACGAACAAAATTGGCCGTCCATAACTACGGCGGCACGGACCTCAATTTCTTAGAACTCAGGAAAACGTTAAAATTATTCTATTACAGATCGGCTGTGGTTATTGGGCCTACCAAGGATTAAAGGGCGTCAGAACACTTATTAATCTCAAGGAGAAGGCCAAGGAACTTGACAACGAAGAAGAGATGCCATTTGATTACAAATATTACAAAGGTTTGTCAAGCTTTTAAATTTCGTCTTTCGTTCCAGCCTTACATCATGAGAAATAGAAAAGAAGTTTATTTCTTTTAAAGTGTCATTTTTTCCATTTTTTCCATTTTTTTTCAGTTTCTCTTCACCGCATAAATTAAGAAGATGCAGTTTTAAAATACTCATCTGTTCATTTTGTGGTTGTTGTTAGGGTACTGAGTTATTGTAACAGTCTACGACCTTCTTCAATTACCCTGATCTTACAGAAGGGGTGGAGGTTGACGGATCCTGCAGGAAACGCGAAGGAGTACCCACAATTTAATTCTAAATCTTCAAATCCTAAACAATTTATGTTACTTGTTAAATATATACCCGATTTTTAATGCCCTTTTCAGACTAATCAATTTTTAAAATTGCTGTCTTTAGCAAGAACGATTTTAACTTTTTGAACTCCAGTTATCAAAGACGTTTGAGAGGTATTCAAGAGGGGGACTTGCTATGAGTCACTGCTATTAGAGGACAGCCCACATGTCACACAGCAGGGGCGGATCCAGGATATTTTTTAGGAGTGGGTGCACTCGTCTCTTGCTCTACTTCAGCACCAATAAACCACATAGTTTTTTTTTTTGGAGAATACCAGTTGTATTAGAAAACCGCAGGTCATCTCAGGGGGGGTGTGCACCCCCTGCACCCTTCCCCTAGATCCGCCCCTTCACAGTCAAGCTACATGTGTAGCCTGCGTAGCTGGCGAGATTAAAGGGGACTTGCTGGTACTTGTTTTTTGGCGGCGGAGCCGTGAGAATATTGGAGCCGGTCATAAAACCCAGAGAGCAATCCCGCCAGCTACACAAGCTAAGGCTGCACAAGCTGTTATTTAATTTCTTTATATCTTCTTTATCATTATCGTTCAGTTGTCATCAGTTTGTTATACGTAAAGGCTGTTGTTAGTATCTTGGGACTACTGGCCAATATCATGTTGTTGTTTTCCTTTAGCATGGTGAGTTTTATATCTCTGTATCATTACTCAAATTAATAGTTATATTTATACTACTACACTAAAAATTTCTGCAATTTGCTTGGCTTAGAGCAGTGGTATTTCAGCCTAATTTGAAATACCTAATACCTACATGTGAAAATTACAAACCTTTTGCGGGTCATAAACCAATAATAACATGCTCTGTACGTGATAATTGGCATATTAAATACCACTCGTGATATTTCAAAATTGTCTCAAATTTCACTTGTCTAACGGCTCGTGAAATTACGTATAACAATTTCGAAATATCACTCGTGGTATTTATGCCAAATATCACTACAAATCATGCTATTACCTATACTAAAACTGCAGTATTTCAGTTTAATTGTGTGAAAAACCGTTTTTTTTCCTATTATGCATAAAAGATGCTTTAATTTCTTTTCTCCTTTTTTTTTCTTTTTAATGAAATCGTTAGAATGAAGCGGAAGGGAAAAGTTAATCTCAGGGCTTCTTGGTGATTTTCTGATTCATCTAATTTGATGCATAAGGGTTGTTGCGTAGATCTACCAAGATCCCATACCTTTGTTTGTCTTATTTTAGTTAGTAAGTATTGACCCGGTTCAAAACAATTCAAATCTTTTCAATTTTTTTTTTTCATTATTTTTTTTTTATATAGAAAAATCGTTTTTTGACGCTGCCATACATAATCCTTTACACCTTCTCCGTTTTCTACGAACTGGCCGTTAGTATTTTCCTGATTACAATTTGGCACAAGGTGCGTATGTAACTTTGTGCTATTCATAGTTTTGCAAATTATGAAGAACGGGTCTTATTTGCTTTAGGGGATAGAAGGGTACGGAGGGTCAGTATCCCTTTTTTTCTGCATTTATAAAAATATTAGACTCGTTGGGCCGAGAAAAATGTTTCACGAGACTTTCCCCTCCCGCCCACCCCTCCCTCCATCATGTTAAATGAAGGTCTTGGCGTGTGCCCACTGTCCGCCCCCATTTCTTAGCTATGCTCGGACGGCTTGATCCACCCCTAAAAAAGAGATGGCTAACGTCAGTTGCTCTTATTTTGAGCTCATCGTTGGAGTCACTAACTTTAGTTTTTTCGATTGCAGTTTCAGTATACTTTTGCCATTGAGATTTGTTCTCTAGCGCTAACGGTATGTACTAAATGATTACGTCCTAAATGAGTTTTTACTTCTAAGGTCGTCAACTAGGACACCACTGGTACCGTTCCTTTGGCCAATTTGTGTACGTAATTTTTTTCTTTTCACTCTTATCATAGTGGCAGGAGGGCCTGCCTACCAAAGGGAAAGGAGCTTATTAATATCAATTAAATAAAGGTGGGATGGTAAAAAATACGCGTCTGTCTATGGTTCGTCCGGGGGGTGGTTCTCTGCCTAGTTATATTCTGCCCTATTTGTGACTCTGGTATAATTGAAGACGAATTTCATTTTCTCTTCCATTGTCCAAAATACTCAATCCCAAGGGAGAAATTCTACAATCAAATCCAACAAAATTTTGTGGACTTTAATCAGCTATCGTACACAGAATTAATAATAAAACTGATGAATTCACAGAATTTTTCCGTAAATTCACATTTGTCGAAATTTCTCATTATGTAATGATTTACGTAATAATTTGTTATCAAATCTTGCTGATGACACTTGATTGACTATAGTAATTATTGCATTGCATTATCATTGTTATGATTTGTTTGTTTGTTTTTTATGTTAAAGCTTTTGCAATACTGTAACTACATAATTATAGTCATGCAAATAACGCTTATGTTGTTGTTGTTGTTGGATTGACTACAATGGGGTTACATTTTCCGTAGAATTACTAGGAGGGGTCCGGGATAGGGCAGCTTTGGCGGGAAGCTTTTTCACACCATTAATTGTGCTTATTTACATCACGTGTTATCAACTCTCTCTCCAGGAGCCCAAGGCTGAGCCCAGCCTTGTCCCCAGGGCGCTTTTCCCTGGCTTTGGGGGTGGGACGGAAAAAGCGCCCTGGGGACGAGGTTGGGCTGGATCTATCTGCCCTTGTTTTGTGTAGCTAGCTCTTAATTGTTTTTGATGCCTTTTTAAGATCTACTTCATCCTTGTGGTGTACTCGTACTATGAGAGCCTCCGTGAAGATCCTTCAGGATCTATAGCGGGATTTGATCAAGAAAACGGAACTGCTATGGTATGATGTTCTACTATTATTTATTTATTAAGGGACCGGTCATTATTTATCGCCTGGGGCGCGGGGGGCGGGGGGGCAATGGAGAATTTGGGGCTAAACAAGGTGAAATTTAGCCGATCCTCCCTTTGAATGTTACTTCACAAAAATGATCCCCTTTAATAACATTTGATAATTTTTGCCACCCCCACCTCCGTGTCTTCATTTTCCAAGCAAATTTGAGTGGTTCCCCCTCTGAATCCTTCCAATGTTTTCAGTGATTCCCCCTTTTGGGTTTTCAGTTACGACTTATCCCCCCTTTTGTTCTCCTAAAAATCAAGTTATCCGCCCAAAAATCCCCCCACCCCCCACCAGGCGATAAATAATGACCGGTCCTTAATAAAGAGAGAATAATGGACCAGAGAGGTAATCTTAGGGCGTCGGCCGGGGTATGTGAATTTCACCAAGATTATTTTTAGATTAAAGAAAGTCTAATTTCTGAGACGTCCGCACATTTTGATCAGTTGTTTGAAATGTTATCAAATCCACGCGCGACTATACATCAAAGCAATTAATGCAGAATATTGATGACTCTCTTGACAACACTAAATAAAAGTCTACGGACCTCTCTGGAAACACACTTTCGATTAGTTTCAAGCGTTTAGTTCATCTAAAAATAACTAACCAAGAGCTAGAATGGGCATTTTCCTCTCTAGCTTCACGTTATCCTTTCTTGATCGCTCTCATTTCTCTCCAGCCGCTCTTTTCCCATCTGTCGTTTCCATCTTAATTTGTCTGATTTTATTGTAACAATCCCTCATCCACAACCGTTAAACTTTCATTTTCTGCTTTTATTTATTTATTTATT